TGTGAAAAAATGATCGTAACTACAAATAAATTTAGGAAAAATTAGTTTATGTATAATAATTAAAAGCTCATTCAAATGATATTTATTAATGTTACTATTGCTGAGTGCCATTTTAGATCCTTTACAACAATTTTTCTTTTTCTAGAAGGATCATTCTCATCAGTTTCTGATACTTCAGGTGAGTGGTATGAGGAATCATTCTTGATTGATCAAAGTTCACTATCATTGAACATTCAAATTAATGGATCTCCAATGGCTTTTAAATGCTCGATTGTATTATTCTAATTTTTTCATTTCTATAATTATTGAATACAATAAATTAGTAAAGAATAAAAGAAAAATGAATTCGTTTATTGCTTACATCATTTCTTTAGCTATTTAAATGTTTTCATCTGGCCTCTTTATCTTGAAAGGTTAACGATTGTTATTTTTTTAAGTACTCTTCGCATTGGTACTTATGTCGATTGTGAATCATATCGTATATAATAGCCTCTGCAACAGGAAACATATCTGAATCTAAAGCTTTCATAACAGCTGGGATTATTCTATGATTTACGAGACGATGTTGAGCATTAAATGTCTTATCCAATTTTAATCAGCTTTCAGATAGTAATCTTTCAATTATTCAAAAACTTGACGTTAAAAATAAAATAATTATAGCATAAGTGTATATAACGATAAAATGAAAGCAATGAAAAATTACTTACCCTCAAAGCTTCTTGGAGATCATCAAATAAGTCTGTCAAATATAAATACCAGGATATTCTAGCACCTTCATCTTGATTAGGATTAGAAGAATTTGAACCAGATCTAGAAAAACTATATGTTCTTTTAATTTTTCTTCTGAAAACTAACTGTGATTGGAATTGTTTTTTGTCAAGACTACTGCATGTATCTGAATCAGACAATTTAATATTGATATCTTCAGCATCAGAATAATTGTCTGAATATTATTCTGACAGGATTTGTAAGTCATTATCATTTTTATTTACGCTAAACGAGTTTGAAAGAAGAATATTATCAGATACTGGTTTCTTCATTTTGCTTTTCATAAATTCCTTAATTAGATTATGAATTTCATCATATTGTAAGAATGAAGCAACTGAATCTGAAAGTTATAATAAATATATATATAATAATACAATGTATAATTGATGATAATAAATTAAAACTTACCTTTATTCTTCTCATCTGTTTTATAATTATTTTTTTTTGTGATACAATAGTCTTTCATAAAATTTTCTATCAGACTTTAAATCAGATGATAGAGATCTATGCCAATGGTTATGAAATAATATTTGATTATACAAGCGAAGCAAGTGAATGATATTATTGTTATGTTATAACTCACCGATTATGTTTAATGTGTTTTTTGTTTTGCTTGGAAGTATTTCTTCTGTTTCTATCCATATCTCTTTTGCTTCTTGACTGAGAACTATCTTGACTTTGTTCTAAATGAGAAATGACTTACTTTTATTAAAGCGATGAGTCATTATTAATATCTGAGAACTATCTTGACTTTGTTTCAAATGAGAAAATGACTTACTTTTGTTAAAGCGATGAGTCATTATTAATATGAAGGTAAAGAGGAAAGAAATTTTTTTTTAGTTATTCTAAAAGTTTGTTCTTTTATATCTATTAAATAAATATGTTTAGTATAGAGCATAGTAAAAATGTAAAAAGTTTAATATTAGCAGATCAAAGTTTAAGTTTTTTTACTTACTGTACGATTATTTTCCTATAGGTATAATCATATATATATATATATGCACATTTAGCATTTGTTTCATTAGTTTATTCTCTGATTTTTTTTATATTTTTAAAAAATAGTTAAATGAGCAATAAAAAAGGATTAGATAAAGAAGCATTGGTAGCATCAGTAACACCAGTAACGAAATCTACAAAAGTTCGACTAAAAGTACAGTGTAACTGCAAAAAATGCAATGACAAACTCACTTGGATAAGATAAAAATATGAAGTAGAAGAAAACTGACTTCAAGCTTCTATCTCTAAAGTGAAAAAAGGCAAAGAAAGAGAGATTGATTCAATGCTGATGTATTCTCGTAATTCAGAAAGTCATTCTTTGGCTAAAGTTCAATCAATCATGGTTGGTTCTTCTCAAAATTTTTATGAAGATAATGTGATAGTTGATAACGATCAAGAACAATCTGATGATAAAATTTTTATTATGAAGTAAGTTTCTGCCAGAAAAAAGTGACGAAGATATGATTGGTTTTACAAGATTAATAATATTATCAATACTATTATCATTACAGATGAAGAATCTAAACAACAAGTTAGTTCATCTGATGAATTTGAGGATGAAGAAGGATCTCAGTCTGTTAATAATTAATTAGCATTAGATGATGATGGACCACTCTTTAGTGATGACGAGATTCTGATTGAGTTATTTGCAACTCCTGGTATTGATATTATGATTCTGATCAAAAAAATTCTACTATGAATATGAATGTAAGCGATTCATAAATCCTTCTCTGAATATTTAAGTATCAAGAAAGGTTTAAACTTTCTGACATCGCAATCAACTCGTTGATTGGTTTCTTTAGTCTTGTCTTAAAAGATATCGATTTACGTCGATTTGAAGAATTTCCTCCAACCACTTATATGGCTAGAAAGTTGTTAGATATCAGGAAAAAATCAAAAACCTTTGCGACTTGTCTAGATTGTAACAAGTTATATGATTCTACGACAATAATTTTAGCAAATTCAAATAATAATATGAATTTAGGATTTAAATGCATCCATATTGAATTTCCAAATCATCCGATATAGAGTCAATGTAAATCCTGTAGTTCAGAATTGTTAATGAAGGTTCTGGTAAATAATAGATATATCTGGCGACCAAGAATGGTATATCCATTACCATTTTTAAAGAATCAAATATCATCAATGTATCAAAGACCAGGATTTGAATCACTTTTGAATAAATAAGTAAGTCAGAATTCTAAAACTAGCTTTATGACTGATATTTACAATGGCAAAATCTAGAAGACTTTCCCATCACATTTTGATAATCCAGATAATTTAGAACATTCTCGATTTTTTACATCTGGAACAGCTAATTCGCATTTAGGAATTATGGTAAACTTAAATTAGTTTCAACTCTTTAATTCAACTTCTTATAATTGTGATGCGATATATGGCGTGATTTGTAATCTTCTACAGGATGTTCAATTAAAAAAGAGAATATGTTGATACTTGGCCTCTTACTGGGACCAAATGAAGTAAAATTGCATAAAATCAATCATTTTCTCATACTAATAGTTGATGAATTACTAGAATTTTAGAATGGAGTTCATTTACCGGTTACAAGTAATTACTCTACTAGTAGGAATATCAGAATAGCTGTAATTTGTTGCAGTAATAATATTCTGGCTTTAAGGAAGTTATGTAGCCACGCATCAGCATTGATAAGATGTCATCAGTATCACAAAAGAGCAAGCAGCGAAAATAGACAAAGACTAAATTTCAGAAAGTTCAATAACATGTCTGATTGGTTTAAGGTCAAAGATCTGATAGAGCATCATCGTAATGCTCTTATTTGGAAGAAACAACAGACGAATGATGATAAAAAATATCATGTAAGTAAGACTTATATGAGGCGGTCAGAATTACTTCGCTTGCCCTATTACATCCTAATTAGACATCTGGTCGTGAATCTAATGAATTGTTTGTTCTTGAGAATCGCTCAATAGATTATGAAGTAATTGTAGATCGAAGGTGGAAAAATTTCCAAATCTGATCTTAAATTGATAAAGAAGCGAGCGAAAAATGTTAAAGTACCAGCTGATCTTGGAAGAATCCCATTTAAAATTGCAATTAGTAAAGGATTTTCCAGTTTTATGGCTGACCAATAGAAATCTTTTATCATGATCTATGCGACTCCATTGATATTGGATCTTTTGGATGAAGAAGATTGAAAAATTTTGTTCAGTTTTGTAAGAACTTAGTAGTACATATTATTAATAATAATATATTAGATGAAGTTTAGTTTCAATTATTACAAGTTGCTAAACTAATTGAAGAGAATTATGGATTGGAAATAATTACTCCTAACATTCACTTATCCCTTCATATCATCAAATGTTGTCAAGACTACGGACTATTATATTCCTTCTGGTGCTACTCATTCAAAAGGATGAATGATGTCTTAGGTAAGTTATATGCCAATTGTTGTTGAACCTAGTTTGAGTATATTTAGAATAGTTTTGTTTAAAAAAAAATATTATCGATAGAATCTTTCCTAAACAGTCATTGCAAAATTGAGTCAGAATTATTAAGGATTATTATGCAGCATTAGTGACTTGAGGACCTTCTATCTGCTCAATCAGATAATATGAAACTCGTTAAAAGCTTAAAATTAATATAACTTTGGACAACTTTGGGAAGCTTAGCAGTTTATATTCAATTTGAGTATATTAAGCTTTGTCGATTTAGACAAATTTTCTATCTCAAAATCAAAGATACAATTACTAGTTCCAAAGCTTTCCCTGGCAAGATGCTAGTCCTCAAAAAAGTCAACGTTAGTTTACCGGATGAAATATACAAAATTTTGGTAGATTAATATAATGCCGCATACAATTTTGATTTTTATCTATTTCAAAATCGGTTTAAAGAAATGCAGTATGTTTCAACCACAGAATAGTTGTTCGATCTCAAGTCAATTAATTTAGACATGTTAGAATTGGAGCTGAAATCTTTGGATTGTCGAATATATATTGATATTTAAAGAATTTATTTTTTCTCGTCAAATTTGTGCAAGAAAATGATTTGGTTGAGGTATTTTCTGATCAGGTTCAATATTTTCTTAAATATGAAATTAAACTACCAGAAGGGAAGCAAATACATTGATTGGCTTATGTAAAATGATTTATGTCAGCTCCAGATCACCAAACAAGATTTTTTTGTCAAATTGATAATATTAAAAGTTGTAATATGTAAATTTGGCTAAATAGATTTTATGATATCAGCAGTGATTGTATTATACTAATACTCAATATATTTAGCCGATTTATACCTTATAAATTCAAAATCAACAAGAGAAAGCTGATTACATATATGGCTGTTATTCTATTAGGAAGATATTTTCACATGTAATTCTATTGAAAAATGACCACATCTTGAAGTAAAAGTTATGGATTTTTATCGTCTATATGGTTACTTTTATACTAATTTATAATACAAAACCATAATCTTCTTCTAATCCTAATATATTATTGATTTAACGAAGAATTTGGAAAATATGTATTTACGAAAGTTTTAAATTTTATTACGATATTGTTCTTTATAACAATTAATATTTTCAGTATTGTTCTGATATCAAATAGCTAAAAATTTTAGCTGTATGATCTGTGAACTGCAGTATATTATAATGATGTCTAACCGCAGTATACAACAATATAAAATTGATCATCTAGCATATTTTTGATATTAACTATATTAACTATAAACAGCAATCAAATTTATATTCAATCTGTAATAAATACTGGCTTCTCTTTGTTTTGCATAATCGTAGTCCTGAATGAAAAAATATCATACAATCAGTATTATTTTCAGTTAGATAGCATTTTACCTGTGATATTATAACTGGCAGTTAAATTGTATTTGCAATACAAATAATTATAAATCAGAAATTCGATATTAGCAATAAATATTAATTGGTATATCTTCTGATTTATATCTTATTTACAATTGATGTCAGTTGCTTCTTAATTTTACATATTAATAATTTAATAGGCTAATATAATCCAATTAGAATGATTGTCAGTTTAACATCATTTTACCTGTATAAGTTAAATTAAATTGGCTTATGTG